TATATCATTCTATTGATTTGTAAAAAGTTCCCGGTCTGCCTGGCTGTAATGAGATTTTTGAACTTTGCGTGGCGATCAATGAGAGGAATATTATTGGCCTGGAGAATTGATATACCTGCTCTCAGTGGCTTGTTCTGCTCCCAGGCCAACCCGGCCCCCCAGGTGTACGATTCCAGCAGACACTTAACCTTTTTTACAGTGTCATCAGGCTAAAAGGAATCTAATAGTGACACAGGACTTGTGCTCAGCATTCTGCCACTATTGCTTTCCTGTCACAAATAATTTATAGCCTTCTATTTCCATCCCTTAGCCCAGCACCCCAGCCCTGCCTCCCACGTCCCCCCAGCTCCCAGGAATCAATAAACTCACACAGCCATAGTGGGACTTCAGGGTGCAAGGAGATGGACAGATGGACGGAGAGAGAAAGAGGGGCAGAGACGGACGGAGAAGGAAACAGAGGAAACAATGGGACAAGGAGGAGAAAGAGGGGGAAGGGTTAAGTAGGAGTCTTTCCCAGTGGAAGGCTGAGCTATCCCCTCATCAGTTTAAAAGGCTTGTTGGGGAGACCCAGGCAGACCTTCCTCTGTCTCGCAGAGCACCTGAGACTGTTTTGATCTTCAAGGTGAGAGGAAGTGGAGGTCTCCTGGGAGTTTAACTAAGAGGAAGTGACCTCACCCTCTGCCTCATCACCCCATGCTCTGAAGCCCTGCCATCACCTGAGTCCTCTGTGGGTCCATCCCAGAGCACGCAGGCGGAACTTGGTCCGGGCCCAGTCCGCCTTCCGGGAGTCTTTCTGATTGCAGCCTCTTTTGGGATCGGCCTGTGATTCCGGCTGCTGTTCATCCGTCTGCTCCATTTCTTCCCAGGGAGTGCCTGCATTGATCCGGTTGGGGCAGATTGAGAAGGGAGGCCTCCTGCCTGTACCTGGCTCAACCCCTAAATTGAAAGCAGCTAGGCATAGGGGTCACCCACAGGGATAATAACACAAGTGAACATTATTATTACAGCCAGTGTTTATCGAGCCGACATCATACTAATCACTTTACATGAATTATCCTACTTAATCCTCACCACAGCGCTGGGAAGTCCATAGTAGCACTATCTCATTTTACACATAGAGGAATAAGAAAAGCCCAATGGCTTCCCAGGGAGAATGGAACAGAACTGGGATTCTGACTCAGGTAGACCGAGTCTGGAGCCCATATCCCAAACCCCTCACTGTGGTGGTGCACAGCTGTAGTGCTACCCAGCACCTGGAAGGCACCACTGTCTATAGTTTCAGTTCCAGGGCATCCAATCCCCTGTTCTATCCCCCATGAGTGCCAGGCATGCACATAGTACTTACACACATATACAGGCAAATACTTATTCACATAAAATGAAAATAAAAAAATTTAAAAAAAAAGCAAAACCAAAATCTGAATTCCTTTAACTGTACATGCATCCTTGGGAGACGTTAAAAATCCCAGCTGTCCCTGTCTTGGGATCAGTGTGAGCAGGCTGAGCTCACATTGAAATGGAGGAGGGAAGTGCCTCCTGTGTGGGAAAGCCTGCTCGGGTGGGAGGGGGAGCTATGCACCTTCCCACGTTGAGCACAGAATGTAGGAGGAATAAAAGTAACCACAGGGTTTTCACAGCCGTGGTTCTTAAATTCCCTATGACCAGCTCTGGGACCTGGCAGGTGCCCACTGCCTGGGGCCATGGATGGACACCAAGAGCCTCAGGAACTCACAGCAGGCGCCCTGCCCAACTTCTCTGCCGTGCACCACCAAGCCGCTGTCAGGGCATAGCGATTTTCCATCACTTGCTGCCTCAGTTAAATCTGTATCAGTGCCTCAGGGGTCAGAGGCTCTCGTAATAAAGACAGGAACTCCACCAGCCAGTCCAGTTATCTGTGTGCCCTGGCCCCAGCCCTGAAAGTCCGTAAACCAGAGCCTGTCGGCCTATAAGCAGAGCCATTGCAGGTTCCCCAGACCCTGAAAGCTTGCGTAGTAACAGCTGCTTGGGAGAAGTCCTACCTCTAGACTTTCTTGATGGTGAGGTCATATTGCTCTCAGTGGTCAGACTGGGACCTGTCCTCTACCTCCTGACTGCCGAGAGTGTGGAGCTGTAAAGGAAGCTCCCTCTGACAATCTTGCTGTGTGTGTGTGTCTGCCTCCGCCCTGGTCCTTTGCTCCTGTCGCCCGTTAGTCCGCCCGCTCTGCATCCTCTGGTCTCCCTGGCAACCTCACCCTCTTCCTCTTCCCTGTACTCCTCTTTCCTGTCCTGAATCGCCCTTCCCACACTCTGTGGTTACTGAGCCGTCCTGTGACTTCTACACCACAGTCGTTTTTTAGAACTCTCCTCTTCCCTGCACCTCTTTTGCCAGGATCCTGTTCCGGCTGTCTGGCTCAGACACTTCTCAAAGTCACTAAAGGTCACCCGGCCCCCTCTTCTTATTCCCAAACCCATGCACTTTTTGATGCCAGCATTGGCTCTATAGACTAAATCCTTAGCATGTCTTCCTCCGTCTACGGTGGCCACTACTGTAGCCTCCCCTACTGTTCCATGCCCCTTTACCAATCAACTCCTTCCTTCTGGGTCAGCCCACGCCTGGGCTTGCCCAACTCACACATCCAGAGGCAACGTCACACGCGGTTCAGTTTCCTGCATCCCGTTCTCCACGATGACACAGGAGTGTTTTAGAGCCGTGCTGGACTCCAGTTCGTCACCAAGCCCTGGCAATTCTCCCTCACTTCTTCCCCTTCACACCCTTGAAGATTCCCCGTGTCCTTCTTGAGACCAGCTTGTTATTGCCTCAAGCCAACATATTAGCTTCCTGAGGCCAGTCACTTGGATCGTGTCCCCTCTAACTTGAGCATTGCTCATGGCTTCAGGCCTCTAAGACCTGGTTCTTTCACAACGACGGAGGGATGACAGAGTAGCAGAAGATGCAGGCTTTAGAGACTGAATTTAGATTCCCCTCTAACTGACACTATGGTCCTAAGGAAACCTTAATCATTAACCTTTGTCGGCTTTGGTTTTCTATCTGCAAAATGAAGACAGTTGTGGAAGTTAGCAGAAGGACATGTGGAGTCATATAGATTATATATAACATCAATGTACAACATTTTAACGAGTGGAAAATAGCTGTTTCTGTCACCAGGCGCAGGCTTTCAGCCCCATTTCCTCTCCCTCCTGTTCATGCCTCCGCTGCTTCTGGCTGTGGGTGTGGTGTAGGCGTCAACCCCCCGCCGTGGTGGCCCTCCTCGGCCTCCTCACTGGTCTTCCACCCTCCTCCAGCACCCGTGTATAACGCCTCCTCCCTCCATTCTCTCGTTCCTCTTAAAATCACATTAACTTTTTTTTTCCTGGGGAAACAGACCTTGGAGATGCTGTGTCCCTGTGAGCCCTTCATTGTTCACTTGGAGAAACTGAGGCACAGAGACACTAAGTGATAAGTGTGAGGCTGTGTGGCTTCTTAGTGACCAAGACAGACCAGTATTGTGCAGCCTGGTACACTTTATACTGTTTCTGGGCCAGGCTCCTCATTCCCTTCTCCCCCTTGGTCCCTACCTTTAAGGGGTGTTTCTCCCCCAGCCCTGGCTGCTTCATTGCCTTGGGCTTCCCAGCATACCGTCCCAACTTTACAGCACTGGGAGACAGGGTCCTAACTATATGCCTACAAGTGATCAGTAAAAGCTAAAGCTGAGTTGGGCGGTGGTGGCCTACAACTTTAATCCCAGCACTCAGGAGGCAGAGGCAGGGGGATCTCTGTGAGTGAGTTGGAGCCAGCCTGATCTACAGAGCGAGTTCCAGGACAGCCAGAGAAACCCTGTCTCAAAGAAGAAGAAGGGAAAATAAAAAGCTGAAGTGGAGTGATTCACGGCTTGCAACTTACGTGGCTGTCTGTAGGGAGGGGCGATGCTGAGTTGGACAGGGTTGAGGGAGAGGCATTCCCAGTCCCTCAGCTTGGTCTCTTGCATTATGGAGCTCTGTGATTTCCTGGACTCCTGCCAGGTGTGCTCTCCCTCCCTGGAGGTTTTGATTCGTTCCTTTATTTCCCGGGGGGAGCACAAGCATGGTGCTAGCTCTTCAACCAGACTGGTAAAGAAGCTCTGACTCAAGGAAGACCATAGAAAAGAAAGGGAGGCCGCAAGCCAGTCAGATGAGGAGCAGGTTGCACGGGGCCTGATGCCCGGCAGAGGGACCGGGTGCTGTTGTGGGATCAGCTGTGGCCCAGCCCTGCCTTTCTGCCTTCTCCCCAGGCTTCCATAGACGAGGAAGTTCCTTCCCTAACTTTAATCCCAGTTGCAAAGCCAGCCAAAATGACCCCAGACTCAGGTGTTCCTTGTAAAGGGAAGCCTTTTCCTTGAGAGAAGCCTTCCTGCCAGCCTGGTTCTAGAGCTGCATCAGTCCCAAATAAACACACAGGAGGCTATATTAATTATGAAGCTGTTAGCCTTGCTTGTTTCTTACTGGCTAGCTCTGACTTAAGTAATTACCCCATAATTGTTAATCTAAGTATTTCTCTTACCGGAGAATAGTTCCAGGCTTCCTACCCCCATGGCGTTACATCTTGACTCTCTGTGTTTCTCCTTCCCAGAGTCCTCCTGGACTCCTAGTCCCACCTATCTTGGTTCTCTATAGGCCAACAGTGCTTTATTGACAAATACACAGGACTTCCCCCAACAGTTCCTGGTACTAGGGGCTACATGAATGTGACTGAGGGAGGAAGGTGGACCACTAGCCAGGCCAGTCCTCCCCCCTAGAAATGGAAAAAGTGCTGTGCTCCACTTGACTGAGCCATGACTCGAGCAGCCCGAACTCAAGCTATAGTTCAGCTGGTGCTCGGGGCAGGGCAGACTGCAGACCACCTCTGCGGAGAGCTGTGGTGGGTGCGGGCGGGAAGGCAGGGCCGCTGGGGGGAGGGGGTTGGGTTGTGCTCAGCAGGCCCCTCTGCCAGGCAGGGCGAGCCTGGGCCTGGCCTTCGTGTGTAACGCTGCCGTGACGCTTTGCAGGATCATTCGGACCAAAGTTCAGCAGCCTTTTCACCCAACACCGGATGGCGCAGGGACAGGAGTGACTGCCCCTGGCCACACCATCGGTAAGAGGGCTCAGGGAAGAGGGAAGTCAACGTAGAGAGCGCAGCCCAGTCCTGGGAACTGTCCACTCCAGTGAGACCAGGGTCCCATGGTCCCCAGTCACTCCTCCCCTCCTGGAACCGTCCACTCCAGTGAGACCAGGGTCCCATGGTCCCCAGTCACTCCTCCCCTCCTGGAACTGTCCACTCCAGTGAGACCAGGGTCCCATGGTCCCCAGTCACTCCTCTCCTCCTGGGCCTCTCTGGTGATGTTAGTTCAGTGCCTCCCACGTGGCCTCCTCAGTCTGTCTTCCTCCCCTCCTGCCCCTCAGCCCCTTTCCTCTGAGCATCTTCTGCTCGGTTATCATTTATCTGTTTCCCTCCCCCTATATATCCTTCCCTCAAGTCCTACACTGTTTCAAATCTACTTTTTTACTTCATCTTTTTTATTTTTTTCTTTCTTGGTTTTTCAAGACCAGGTTTTATATTGTTTTGGAGGCTGTCCTGGAACTCGCTCTGTAGATCAGGCTGGCCTCAAACTCACAGAGATCCGCCTGTCTCTGCCTCCTGAGTGCTGGGATTAAAGGTGTGTGCCACCAATGCCCGGTTTACTTCATCTTTTTTAAGACGTCTTTTTTTTTGGGGGGGGTGGAAGGCTGGAGAGATGGCTTAGCAGTTAAGAGCATGTATTGATCTTACAGAGGACCTAAGTTTGGTTTCCAGCACCCACATCAGGCAAGACTCAAAACCACCTATAACTCCAATTCCAGAGGACCTGAATGCATACATACACATAAATTTAAAAAGTAAATCCCGCCAGGTGGTGGTGGCACGCACCCTTAATCCCAGAGCTTAGAGACAGAGGCAGGCAGATCTACAGAGAGTTCTAATACAGCTAGGGCCACACAGAGAACCCCTGTCTTGAAAAACCAAAAGAAAAAAGGTAAATATTTCTTTTAAAAATTGAGAGGAAGGGATGGAACCCCTAACCTTATGCATGGTAGGCAAGCACTTTTCCACAGTTATATCTCCCAGCCTTTATTTTTTTTTAATGATCTTCCTCCCTTCTCCCCATCTCTCCCTTCCTCCCCAGTCCACTTCTCTCCCTCATGTACGCTGTGGATCTGTCCCTCAGTCTCTCTCCACCCTTCCTTCTGGCCTCTTTTCTTTTGGCTTGTTTCCTCTTATCTTTGTCTCTACCTCTTCTGCTCTCTGCCTCCCTGGCCCTCTTAGCGCTTCACAGGACCTCAGAGACACAGCCCAGGCCTGCCCGAACACCTGCTGCAACTTTCCAGGGTCCCAGGCACGGGAACCCTGACCTCTCCTTGATTTCCTTCCCTCCTGCCCAGCTCTACTGGGCTGTCAGGAGTCTTTGCCCACCCAGGCCTGGGTTAGTAAGCTGGAGGGAGGGTTGCTGAGCTGTACCCGAGCTGATCACAGCACCGTGAACGTCTGTGTTCACCGCCTGTCCCCAGAGGGAAGTAGGAACTTCTCCCATGGTAAGACCAGAAGCGCCTAGAGGAGAGAGAGCTGCCCCAAGTGTCAGAGGCAGATCTTAGGAAACCTCAGACTACACCCGGGAGACTGAGAAGCAGTGGACTGGGGTTTGGAAGGATTTCCTCGGCTGTTGGATTAGGTGGGGGCTTGTATCATGGCTCCAGAGAGCATCCTGGAGCTGCACTGTCCAGAAGGTCACTGAAGTGCTTTCTAGACAGCTAATCTTGGCAGTTTCTGAGCCTATACTACATCCATCTGAGGGGAGGGGATTGAGGGACCAGCAAATGCCACAGGTGGTGGTGGTGGCAGTGGGCGGCGGCGGCGGGGGGGGGGGGCAGGGGGGAGTGGGGCTGGGTTGACTGGTCACCTCTCTCCTCAGGCTGGGCAGAAGTGCTAACAGCCTGCATTGTCTGTCTGTGGGAGCGAGTCCTCCCTCAAGTCTCAGAGGAAGGAAGGAGACATGAGCCTCCTTCTGCCCTCTGTTCCACTCTGTCCCAGCCTGGGGCTTCAGTCACAACTGCTATCCTGATGGTGTCTCCTCCTCCTTCTCCTCCAGTTCCCAGCACGGCCTCCCCTCCTGTGTCCAGCGCCTCTAACGACCCAGTCGGATCCTACTCCATCAACGGGATCCTGGGCATCCCTCGCTCCAACGGAGAGAAGAGGAAACGTGATGAAGGTAGGGAGGAGGAGCTCAGGCTCCCCTTTGCTCGCTTTGTCCTTGGACTCGGGCTCCGGTTTCTGCGGGCCTCGCAGCTGCTCTGCTGTGAGATCAGTTTTAGCAGCAAAGTCGAGGCGCCCCCACTGCCCTGCTGGTTCCTGGAGCTAGGGAGGGCGGCTGCTGCTGGGGCCACCAGCTTCACCATCTGCTCAGCCCCAAAGGTCTCACCTTCTGCTGGGACTCACCCCAGCTGTCCCCATGGGACGCCAGGAGGAGTAGTGTGAACTGTTTACCTTGGGAAGGTTGTAGAGGTTGGGGAGGCAGCTGGTATCTGACCTGGGCATGTAAGGCCAGCCTGCCCTGCCTGGCCTCACTTGATCCCAGAGAGAAGTAGCAGGTGATGCGGACATGGACAACCCTGGGGTCCTTTCTCTGTGGCACATGGACACTGCTCCCACTGAGACCACCTGGGGAGCTGGGCATAGCCTTGTCATACTCTTGATCATGAAAGTGGACACCTAATTCTCTTCCTCCTACCTGGTCCCTCAAGGTACAGCCAGTCCCTTGGGTAGCACAGACCCAGTCGGAGGAATGGGGAATTAAAGAGGAGGACATGGGATGAAGGATACTCAGGGGAAAGACTGGTGGTATAACATGGGCAAAGTGCCTCTCAGACGCTGCGGCACTGGTGATGCACTCAGCCAGCTGTTTTCCTCTGGAGTGTGAGGCCTGGGCACCCAGATGAACACGGATACCCATATCTCAGGCCAGCTGGTCCCAGCCAGAGAAGTGGTAACTTCTGGTCTTTGCAAGGTGTACAGGATTCTAAAGATACTCTCCATAAAACGTAAAGGGGGATATGACCACGTGTTCCATCAGCTCAAGGAAGTCACAATTTCTGCCTATTGTCCCTGCATCTGAACCGGGCAGTGTCTCCTTCTCCCCTCAGAAAATGTTGTGTTTGGACAGTGGGTTCTGTGGTCATCTCAAGCATAGATAAGCTCCTCTTGAGGGCGTAAAGGACAGAGACAGGGACAAAGATGACACTCCTTAGGCTGCAGTCTGGATTCTCCAGACCCAGGCAGAGGGAAGACAGTAGAAGTTCCCTGGCCTCCAGCAGAAGGAACACAGTGCAGGAGAGACCTAGGCCTGGCAAGACAGTGATGACCTGGTGCTGGCCTCCTTCCAGAAGCCCTAATGGCCTCGTTTCCCAGGGAAACAGCTTGTCTGGCTCGGTTTCTCTTTCTTCCAAAATATCCAAGCCCATTTGGCTGCCACGGCCTTTGCCACTCACTAAATTTCATTGTGGTTGTTTTGGCGGCAGCCCCTGATGGGCAGGGGGAGGCTACAGGAGAGGCCCTAAACCCCAGTTCTCCCTGGAGCTTCTCACATCCAGGCCTTAGCCAGGCTCCCTGGCACCCCGAGCGCCTTGGTAGCGTCTGCCTCAGACCCTAAGGGCTTCTCTTTAGCCACCTGCCTTGTTTAGAGTGTGAGGTGTCCAGGGGGACCGGAAGGTCACAGGAACCCTTCTGTGCTCTCTTTCATTGGTCTGAAGCGGGGACTTTGTGTGCCTTCTGCTGCCTGGGCCTTCATGGGTGGTGAAGGGAGGCTGGGGCTACCCAGGCTGGGCCAGCCATCCAAGTCAGGAACGGAATGCTCTCCTTCCCCTTGCTCACATCCATTGTTTCCTGTCAGTTCAATTCAGTGACCCCCCCCCGCCGCCCCCGCCTGTCAGCTATGAGAATAGCTTGGTACAGAAGGTTCCTGAGCCAAACAAGATATGATTCTTGTCCTTAGGAAGCTTATACTCTACACATATGTTAAACGCTGCATCCAGAGAGTAGAAAGACCATCAGATATGGTGTGGTGGAGATCTGGCCAGGCCTCTATGTGGGGAGGAAGGGAGGGAGGGGGCTCCCTGCCAGGAAGGGCTGCTCCTTGAGGAGGGCCCCGGGGGTGTCTGGGGGGTGCTAAGGACAATGTTAACCTGAGATTCTACCTGGTGCAGCAACCCTCTGAACAGCAATGGCAGGGTGGCTTCTGCACAGATGAGCTCGAGGGTCTGAAGGGCAGCGCTGAGAAGCAAGCCCAGGTAGACAGAATGACCGGAAGTGACCAAGACTGACCTGTGTAAGAGGACTGGCTTTCCCCAAAGCAGGAGCAGCCCTAAAAGTGTCTGGGCAAGGAGACACAGGAGCAGGGTTGGTTTGGGTCCTCCAAGCGGCTGCACTCTTCAAGTGAGGGATAGCGGCGGCCTCAGACACTCATCTGCCAGACCTAACCAGGTTACAAGAAGTAACCTGGGACCCTGGCATTTTTGTGGGGGTTTTCTTGCCCTGTCTGTACCTCCCTCCCTCCCTCCCTCCCTCCCTCCCTCCCTCCCTCCCTCCCTCCCTCCCTCCCTCCCTCTCTCTCTCTCTCTCTCTCTCTCTCTCTCTCTCTCTCTCTCTCTCTCTCTTTTTCTCTCATCAACCCCAGGCCAGACAGCGCTGTCCTTTCCCTGGAAACTGGGCCTGGGAGGGAGGCAGTTTTCCCGGACCAGCATCTCAGTCTTGATCCACGGGACCCAGGTGGGAAGGGAGAGAAGGGAGAGGAGAGCTAGAGGACACCCCCTCCCCCACTCGAGGCCTCCGAGCAGCAGGGCCCAGTTTGCATTAAGGAGCAGCTAGGATGATTAAGAATGGGGAGATAATTATGTGTCAAGATGATGTAGCCCAACTCTGCAGTCAGGCCAAGGTAGCAAAGCAGCTGGCAGGCCAGTCCGTGTCGTTGTCGCAGGAGCAGCCTGGGGCACAGGCTGTACAAACACCCAGGTGTGTCCTTCAACTCTTGGGCCAGGACTTTGGATAAAATGGAAACTGATCTGAGGGAGTGCAGAGTGTTGGGATGTGTGTCCAGGGACCCCGGAGGGATTAGAGGGCCAAGTGCATTTTCCTCTGGGAGAGTCCTAAATGTATCAATTACACTGACCCTTCTTTGACCTCAGGTGCAGTGATATCTCCCTAGAAATGCCTTATCTTGAGGCAGGCTGGGTGTCCCTCTGCCCTCCAGGAAGCTACTCTGGCTTCCACCTCACAATGTGGCCCATCCTTTAGCTTTAACCACATCACGGTGGTGGGCATTAGCAAGGGTGGGCGCTGACTACAGTGTGTGCTGGCATTAACGAAGGCCTGCTCAGCGGTACCTACTGGTGTCACACTGGTAGTAACCAGAGTGTTGCTGGTATTGACCAGCAACATTGGTATCAGTGGCCATCAATCACTGGGGATATTCATCAAGGGCCAATCAGCTTTGACTCAGGGTTTGTGTGGGAGCTGATCCAGATTCCTTCCCAAACCCCGACCTGTGGGAATACGCAAAATTCAGGGGTTTTTGTCTTTGTTTTTTGAGAAATGTGGATCTAGGACCCCAGGTAGAAAGACCAGAGAGAGATAAAGAAAATATACAGAAGCACCTGGGACACAGGCTGTGTATCAGTCCAAGGAGGAGAAATCCTCATCAATGCCGTGCTGAAACTTTCACTTCCAACCCACAGTCATGGGCAGGTACATCAGAGCTTGCTCTGGGAATCTAAGAAATGTAATTCCCTGCATGTTACACACCCCGGCTCCTGTAGTTGGAAAACAGAATATCAGCCTATCTATAATCAGGTTCAGAAACGAAAGCCAGACTGGGGAGTGTGTGGCTAAGCGGTAGAGGACTTGCCTGGCAGGCATAAGGTCCCAGGTTCAATCCCCGACCTGGAAAGAAAACAAAACCAACCACAGAAAACCCATGTCTTTCCCATGTCTTTTCCATGTCTTTCCCATGTCTTTTCCATGTCTTTTGCCTTCTCTCCACTGCTGTGGGCCACAGCTCGGTGCTTTGCTGTCCACCGGCAGCGGCCATGAAGCACGGAGAAGTTTTGTGGCTCATCCAAAAGTCCACATGAAGTCGTAGGGTGAGGGTCTGCAGATGTGTGGAGTCGTAGGGTGAGGGTCTGCAGATGTGTGGAGTCGTAGGGTGAGGGTCTGCAGATGTGTGGAGTCGTAGGGTGAGGGTCTGCAGATGTGTGGAAGGGAGGTGTGTTGATATCAGCCATGGGTGTGTGGGCTTGTAGGGGGCGGGGATTTCATACTCCACCAATTAGGTGCACAATGGCTTGTGCAGTGGGCGGCGCCAAGCTGTAACTGTTGTGCATTTGTGGACCGGACAGGCTACATGACTGCGGAAGGCTGAGTCCCATCACCGCTTTGGGTGATGCTGATGCCGGAAGAGGCAGCTTATTTCCTTAGTTAGTGTCCTCCTAGAAGTCCTCAAGAGCAGTGCTCAGGTTGTGCTTGGAGCACACAAGGGGACTGAGCTAGGAATGGTCAGCACCTGTTTAGGGGCCCTAGATTGAGGCAAGGGAAGGTTTCAAAACTCCGTATCAGGGGCATGGACGAGGCCTGCCAGGGCCACAGCTCCACGCAGCCCTGGCTTAACTGTGAACACCGCTGGACTGAAATCCTAGAGCCGCTAGTACAGCTATGTGACCTTGGGGAAGTCATTTTACTGCCCCAGCTCCTCTGTCAAATGGGTTAGCACAACCCTTACTTCTTTTGTTGTAGGGAAGGACCCAGCCCATTGTGGGTGGGGCATCCCTGAGAAGGTGGCCTGGGTTCTTTAATAAAGCAGGCTGAGCAAAGCTGTAAACAGCTCCCCTTTCTTTCTTTCTTTCTTTCTTTCTTTCTTTCTTTCTTTCTTTCTTTCTTTCTTTCTTCCTTCCTTCCTTCCTTCCTTCCTTCCTTTCTTTCTTTTTTTTTTATCGGGACAGAGTTTCTCTGTATTGTTTTGGAGGCTGTCCTGGAACTCCCTCTGTGAACAAGGTTGGCCTGCCTCTGCCTCCCCGGTGCTGGGATTAAAGGCGTGTACCATCAACGCCCTGCTGTTTGTTTTCAAGACTCCCTGGTTGGCTTGGAACTCACTCTGTAGACCAGGCTGGCCTCGAACTCAGAAGTCTGCCTGCCTCTGCCTCCCACTGCTGGAATTAAAGGCCT